AGGGAGAGATGTGACAAGTTTGGCGCCGACCTTGACAAGTCCGTGCCAGTGAAGAACCTGGGAGAGTTGAGATGGTATTCTGGGTGCTTTTACGAGAGGAACAAGGAGACCGGTAGGTTGACGATTTCTCAGCAGACTTTCACGGATGAGCTAGCAGCAGACTATGGAGTAGTGGGAGGTAAGAGCGTTCCGATGTCTTCGGGGGTGAAGCTTTCTGATTTTGATGCGGATGAGGTGACGACAGACTTTCCGTTTCATGAGCTGGTAGGATCGTTAATGTGGCTGGCGACTCAGACTAGGCCAGACATTGCGAATGCAGTAAGGACAGTAGCTAGGTATTGCGCATCTCCGAAGCTGGTACCCTGGAATGCAGCGATGGATATTTTAGGCTATGCGAGGAGGACGAGTCAATTTGGTATTTCGTTTCAGAGAGGTACGGTGGAGGGATTAAGCTTGCAGGGGTACGCTGATGCGGACTTTGCAACCAAGGCAGCAGACCGTAGGTCGGTATCAGGGGGGATCGTGACGTGTGGAGGAGGCGCTGTGTCTTGGTTTTCCAGAACGCAGAAGTGTGTCACGCTTTCGACCACAGAAGCAGAGTACGTCGCCCTAGGTGACGTAGTGAAGGAGATTTTGTTTTTGAGGCAGTTTTGGCGTTTCATGTTGCCGCAGGTCGGCATGCCGTGCATCCCCATCTTCGAGGACAACCAGGGGGCGATTCAACTAGCGCAGAACCCTATCTCAAACTCGAACTCGAAGCACGTAGATGTAAGGCACCATCTTGTCAGGGAACTGGTAGAGAGGAAGGAAATTTCGGTTATCCACGTGCCGCGCCGTTACCAGCGTGCAGACTTTCTTACGAAGAGTTTGCCGAAGGATGCTTTCGAATCTCACCGTGAATTTGTGATGAATTTGGCATGAACATTTTGTTGTTCAGTGACGACCTAGGGCCAGTTCTCAGCAGGAAGTGCTACGAACAATTACAAGCGCCACCATAGGCCCAAGTTGGACCAATCAGAGAGACAAGATGAGATATGACATGGATGACGTGTGTCGTTGTATAACGGATGACCTTTGAGGTAGGACCGTCCGGAAGCTTGGCTCCGTTAAGCCTCGCACACCAGATCACTCTGCTTCCTACCCTCAGTTCGCTGTACAGAACTGTGAGCAGAACAAGCTTGAGTCAACCAAGAGATGAACTGCTGAGGTAGAGCACACACACAAGCCACGCTTGAACGCAAGTGCAACGCACGTCCAAGCTAGAACCTGCAGAACTAAGGAGGCGGTATCAGTTCTCCCCTCATCTGCTCGCTGAGATTTCCTGTTTCTCCGCACGCCGCGCACGAGGTGCGCGTGCTGTGAACGACCGACAGGGCGGCCGTGCTACCTTGTCGACACGTAGCCTCCAGAGGGAAGCATTGCATAGCGTGGCTCCCACCGTTGGCCACCGTAGCAGCGGTCAGTCGATGCAAGGAGGTGAGCGGCATGCTGCCGAGCTCGCGCGCTGCTGGCGGCGTGCATCATGATGCTGATCATGATGCAGTCGCGGATGACTGTGTGTATGGTGCGGCTGGTCGCCAGCACAAGCCGGTGTCGCACCCCTTGCCCGCAGCCCCATGCGCGGACACTAGAGAGGATTTCAAATCCTTGCAGCAAAACCACGCGTCGGGTATCCGTCCTCCTCGAGAACGGACAGCGGCCACCTCCGGTAGCGAGCCGTTGGGCAATTCCCATCTGTCGGCCGGCGGAGCCCCTGGCGGTGTAGCCTCCGTCGTGAACACCTTTCCTTCCAGCACTCCTGCGGCTTTCGGAGCGAATCGCAGAAGTGTGAGTGAACGTGAATCACCACCAGCGAAACGCCACGCGTCGCAAAGCCCATCATCCTGGGGGAGCTTGGGACGAGATGCAAGAAATCCATGCGAGGGCTTCGGCGTCGGTGAACGTCGCCGCCGGGTGCCGCACGTTCCTTGCTACATGCTGTGCAGATGTCCCAAGCACCGGAGGCCTTGGGGACGCTAGAGGAGCGATCAGGTGATGGTTTCGAATTCACCGAACCACATACGCCCCTGTCGTCTGCCATTGGGGTGCCTGCGGGACCGGGATACTGCTCTACCAGTACGTACGGGTAGAGTGCACCACTGCTACGTTCGGAGGTAGAGAAAGGAGCGCAGCTAAACTATGAAGGCCCATGACAACTTGGAGCAATGTTGCCACCACGGCAGCGCCCAGCCAATGCAGTACCGTGGCAACCGCAGCAGCAGCAACAGCAGCAGCAACAGCAGCAATAGCAGCAACCGCAACAGCAGCCGCAGCAGCAGCAACGGCAGCAGCAGCAGCTGTCAGCCGCGGGTTGCTTTGGAGGGGTATGGCCGCCGCAGCCGCAATCACGGCTTTTGATGGCGCAGCAGGGCGCAACTGGCGGGGCGGTGTTACAGCCGCAGCAGGTTGGACGGGTACGTCAGCCACTCCTGCCGCTGCCGTTGCCTGTGCAGCAGAGGACGGCAGGTGGCATCCTCGGTGACGCCCTAACCGGCCATGGTTTACCTCTGTTTTTGCAGCATGGTGCACCGTATGGCTCAGGAACAACAGGCGGTCATGAGGAGGAGCACGAGGGGGAGGAGGCAAGGATGCCTCCAGCGGAAAGCCCGTCCCTGTCATCGTGCCTGCTGATGCTTCGTTGGCGAAGCGCAGCTGTTGCTGTTCGAAAACCAAGACAGTTACGTCGATTTGTCGTGGATGTCTCAAACGATGGCATTGCCACGTCGACCGGGATGATCGACCGCAACAACGATCGCTTCACTTGGTGCTTCTGCGATACCAAGCCGAAACTAGAGGTTCTCAAGTACGGGCGCCATCTGTAATGGCAGAAACAGCACCGGTTGGTCATGTAGCATTCTTCTTGCATATTTCTCACGGACTCGTGTCTGCGGATAGATATGACTTGTTTCCAGGAGAAGCGGTAACCGAAACCTGGGGTTTCCAGCAACAGACGTCACCGGTAGTGGAATATCCAGCGCAAGGAGAGGCGGGACGCGGGACCACAAAAAAGGCGTGCCCTCGTATCCCTAACTTATTTATACGAGGATTTTGCATGCGCATTGTACTCTTCTTGCACATTCTGTTCTGCGAGAATCGATATGATGAGGCTTCCTGTGCCGGACAGGAACACTCGCCTGATAAATGTCATCCCGAGCTGAGAAAAGAACACCTGGCGTGTAATAACGTGTAGGAATTCCGCTTGGTCAAAGCCTACTTCACTTCACTACATATGCACTTGCAGCCTGCTTTCGGAGTGAAAAAATGAGTAAAAGATGAGATCGAATCTGTGGTTCCATCATGATATGTTCCCAAACTTGAATCTTGTTTCCACAAGCAAGCTTGAATCAATCCACCAGGTCCATCATCGTCGTTTAGAAACAACGCAAATATTTTTCGGCGGGTAACGTTCGGTAGGCCGAGGTGGTACGAACGGGGTACTCATCAGCTCGCATTCATTTCGTCCCTGCCCTTTGTTTGCTTTGATACCACTGCTGCTGTAGACGCGATCTCTTGGGTGAAACCAGCACCGAAGTAGATGGGTGTGCCTTGTTCCAATGGCCATCATGAAGCTTCGCGTACACAGCTCATTCTCCTTGCTACGCACAGTAGCATGCATCGTGTCAGTCAGTTTCTTTACTGCTCCTGCAGTTTTCACATCAAGAACGCAAGAGATGTTTCGTGATACGTATGGCAGCGCTCGTTCTCTTTCACCACGATCCCAGAATTGAGCATAAATCAGTCATTTCCGGCGCCTGTAGAGGGGAGAGGGCCCCACCAAGTTGGCCCCACCTATCTTTTTTTATTGGTATGTGAATTTGTACCCTTGCCATGACTTATGCATTCCACCCCAGTTACGGCTATGCTGTGCCTTCTTCGCTGTTGTTGGGCAAACCTACGGTCTTCTTCCTTTCGAAACAAGCAATCGGCTCTCTCTCGTCCACGCTGATTCTCCCACGGTCCATCATCGAGGAGGTGAAGCGACGACGTACGGCACCATCCACCGGTGCATTAGATGGGGCCCACACCAATGCTGGAGGAGACGACGACATGGGCAGTGCGGGGGATGCACAACTGGCGCCTGGCCATGACTCCCTCCCGGTAGGGCGATGTACTCAGCATCGATGGCCCCGCCGAGCCCATCGTTTTCGAAACGCTTACGCTTTCATGCCGTCATTCTCGTCCATGTATGGAACGGAGGGAAGGTCCCGCAAGAGGATGCCACCATCAAGGTGACTTACAAGGAACTCGGACCGACCCAAGTGCAACAAGTGCAGGAAGCATTTCCCCGGTGGGGTTTCATTTTGTCGCCCAGGAGATCGCTCACATACGGCTGTTAGGAAGGCTACGCTAGGGAATAAATCGTTCCGAACGGACCTTCGACTACCAGTGTAGGGCCTCACGCTTGTCTGCGCAACGCTCTAGATCACCCACCTCCCCTAACTCGCATTACACCATCATACACGTACAAGCCTCAGCGTTGCAGACCCTATTGGGCTGGGCTTCCAATCTCTAGCACTGGGCCCCCTTCGCCATGGACATCACCGACGAGTCGCACTCCGCTTCTACTCGATGTGCAGCGCGCACAGGGAGCTCTTGAAGCGGCTCTTGTTGCCGTCGGAGCCGGTGTCTAGCTTTGACGAGTACGATACGTAGACGATGTTGTTGGTTTCCTTGTCGTAGAGCCGGCGCACTACGATAGACTTCAAAAAACTGTGACATGGTAACGATCAAGGAGGAGGAGAGGGACTTACATTAGCGGGCGCTGTAAGGAAGAACGGTGGAGAATCTGAAACGCTAGCGTCGAGAGATGACGAGCGTTGGCTGCACTCATGTCTACTTCAATTGGCGTAAAGCAGTCGAGTTGAAATGTACCCTGGGGGCAGGAAACATCGCATGAACCGACAGTACAAAAAATCAATAGAAACACGACACGCTCGCGGATCTGATCTTCCATACACTACGGCCATCATAAACATTCCTGGTCTTGATTGGGCGGTTCGGAACAACATCTCCAAGTCCGCACCCACTCAACACCAGCACGCGCCCAAGGAAATATGATGCGTCATGTCAGGGTCATCAGCTCCGACATCCCTCCAGTACGTCAAGCTGGAGTGGCGAAAGACGCGTTTCCGTCCTACTCAACACTTCGAACATTTCTTGACCGTGCCGTTCCTATTGATCGACGACATGCAGGCTTCCCTGTAGCCTCTCTATACCAACGGATAGCGCGGGGACTCCCTCTTAAGTGCTTTGGGTATATAGCCACAATTTCGAGTCGAAATCATCAATTCCTTCTCCTGGATCGACTCCCGACAGCACAAGGTATGGCCTCATCAATGACGAAATAAAATCAAGCACGCTACGTTCGCAACAGAGGGATTGCTCTGTTTAAAGGCAGTCCTGTTCCATGCATTACCCCACATTGTGGGCACCAAGCATGGATGAACCGTACGTCGGAACAACCTCCTAGAACGTGTAAGGAAAAGGTCTCGGGCGCATGATATATCTCCCACGCGCTAGGAGCAAGCGCGGAGGATTCTAAGCAATCCAATCGCCACCGTGACGTGTTTCGCAGGTTCATCGGTATTATGCTGCTGTTGTACCTGCGATCTTCCTTGAACAGCTCCTCCCCTTCCTTGGACGTGCTGATGCCGTCCTTTACCTCCATCGGCCCCGACCGCACGCAGAACAACGATGCCGAGGATGGGTCTGTACGTAGTCCAGACCACCGGCATGACATACAAAACGTCCGATAACAATGGGGCAAGTGCGATGGGTGGGTGAACTAGTGTGACTGCTGCTTCAGTTGGTGATTAATGGAAGCTACGCGCGCCTTCGCCGCACCCCTCGGGTTCGTATCGAGAGAGAATAACAAAGAGAGGCTCCGATCAAGTCGTGGCGCAGCCATCGTGT